ATTTCGACACACCGCCCCGCGACCCAGGTAAATCCGCGCTTGACATTAGCCTGTCATATGACAGGCATCGTTGGAGAATCAAACCATGCTCTACAAAAATTATTGAATTACTAAGACAAGAAAGGTGGCAGGCTACAATCCGGCATATTGTTTATAGCCTGACTTTATAAATGTAACGAGACATCTCATGATTTAGCTAGTTGTTATATGCCTTATCTGCATGTTTCTAGATATGTGAAGTGGCTGCGGATGTGATCGTGAAGGAATATCTGCATCTTCACCCAAGTTACTTTTACTTTACTACTACAATATTGATATCTTTTGTGCATATACAATATGCAGAAATCATGCGAGATGAGAAGGTCCTTACCAACTTCGGAAGCCGGAATTTTTATTTGCAATAAGGTATTATTGAGTTAAATGCAAATCAAAAGGTAGGGATGCGAAAATTATATTGCTGGTGCAGAAAACGCCTTTAAACAAATCATAATAACTAGGTAACTTATGCGAAACGATTTCATGTATATCAATCATAAAGTAAAATAGGCTCTGAGGGCTGTTATATCTACCCACCTGACCAATGACCGAAGGGCAAAGTCTAGCTGATAAGCATTTGTAGAGCTGGGCTTTTACAGCAGGATCGAAATTGACAAGTTCAGCATATCCGCCTCGATAGCCGCACCTGTAAAATCATTGAAGTTTAAAAAAATTACAAGAGGAGTGGATGAAAATATAGAATAAATTACTAAGGTCTTGTGCTTTTGAGACTTTTTAATTCAATGGTTCCTAGAGAATAATGTTTTGTTCAATTTACTAGCTTAAATTTAGTAGCAAAATTGTTTGAGCTATCTACGCGAAATTAACTTGCTTCCTATAGCTAAACCGTTAGATAAACTGAAACGAGGCAAGGACGAATGAGACCATAAGCAAAGAATGAGCAAGATAGATGTATAAAAACTAAATGGCTAGGACTGTCCGCTTAAGGTAGTGAATATCAATTATCTTTGGAGTTGTCTAAATGTTGGCAAAATATAATTAAGGCAAAAAAATTGTGACTTATCCAAGTTACTAGATGGCAGATTCTGTTGTATTAGCTACATTTTGTGACGAAATATAATCGGCACATGTTGAATGAAATTTGGCAAGCTCTCTATAAATAAATGCGAGTTTAATCGATTAGGATTCACCTATGGTAGATTTTGTAACTAAACAGCAAAACAAAATTCAATAGGTACTTTATGGCATTTGGCTAAGACCGGAAAACGATTAAGTGCTGTAATTACAGGATACTGAATTTAATTTAGAAGAAAAACACTCCAGCTTAGAATATATATTAAAATACAAGATATTTTTTGACGTATTATAGCTAAAGATTCTTAAATCCTTTCCATCTTAGCGGAAGGGCCAAATAATTTTAGTCTAATTGACAAGTGAAAGAGCAATGTTGAACAGGGAATGGCTAAGATACGAGAATATAAGACTAGCCTATTATCAAGGCAACACGCCGAACTAGGCGTGCAGATACTTTATTAATTAAAATGTTGGGCTGTGATTTAATTTAGGCTTCACTACAGTAAGAAATTTATATATTAAGGCAAAGATGACATGACCTTGTCTGATCTCAGCCTCCTTTGCCCTATAGCGGATATGACCTTATTTTCACAGCTTAACCATGTTCTCAAAAATACTTCAAAAGAAAACACCTTGTACAGCATCTTCTGCCATTGTTGTCATGTGTTCCCCTAACATCGGCATCATTTTCGTCACCGAGCCACAATTTTCAATAACAGGTGAAAACACTCACCAT